CAGTGACGCTTACGGTTAACCATGTCTAAGGGTAGAGAGCCTGTTTTCTGCTGCTTACAACTTCCAGCCAGAGCTTAAAATTTCAGCCTGAAATTCTTTCTGCCTGGTGTCTACTGCAGGGTCATTGTTTTGTTTCTTTGTTAAAAGATTCCTGGAGTGAATTTAAGACTATGGACATGATTTTCTGGAAGTAAGCAGCATGAATTTGTGTTTTGTGTAAGCGCATAAAAGTTGTAGCAGCAACCTGCTTTGGGTCAAGGGCTTAAAATTGGGCAGTACCATTTCTCTGGGATTAGAGATGTGACTTTGATCCTCTTGAAAGCGTTCCCATGTCTGGCTAAGCAGTCTCTCTCTGAAGAGTTGCAGTATATGCATGTTGGGTTTGAAAACTAAGTTCTCAAGACATTCTTTTGGCATTAGAGTATCCAGCAGGTCAATTCTGGTGACTGTAGGTAGGTCCTGAAGGTGAGTTTTATCCCACCTGAGTTCAGGTGTTTAACTGAATTTGGGCAGCAATCTATTCTGACAGTCAGCAGGTTTCTGCCCTGCTAGTGACCTAAAGGAGGAAGACCCTGCTTCCACAGCATAGTGAGTCTTTGGTTCCTTATTTTATTTTAATTCCTTGTTTTTAAAATAGACCGTTGTAAATGATCAAACTTGTAAAGCTAAGTATATTTAGCACATCTCTTCTGGCTTGCTGGGAAAGAAGAGTTTGTATACTTTAAACTGTGCAATCCCTCTTAGGTACAACTGAGGGTTTTCTAACTTTTTAGTTCTTGAGTTTCTGATGTATACATAGAAGAAATATATGGATCATGTTGATAAATTTTGGCAGTAGGAGCAAGAAATTGAGCCCCAGTCTTGACATCTCTTACTGAAGATTTTAATGTGATGAATAATGCAGAGTGCTTAATTCTCGAAGAGTAAAGTGAAAAACTGTTTTAACGCCTCTTGAGTTAACTTACTGGTTCCACTAGGGATCTGTGTTGGGACCACGTAGAGGACTCTGCTCCTTTACTGGAAGTCATCACCTGCAGAGTTGACTTTTTGAAGATGAGGTCTTTGCTCATTACTACACGTTGTCTACTGAAGCGTGAATACAACATGTCCAGGAAGTCTCAGCTTCTCCATTAGACAGATATTACATAATCCATCACCACATAATCTGTCTGATAAGTAAAACTACTGTACCAGAGCAGCCCATATTCTGTATATAGCAAGAGCTCCTATTTTCCAGCTGAGAGATCCAGCTGGTTTGTAATAGGGGAGGGCTTTATGCTTGCTTGTAACTCCTGAAGACGCTGGCTGCCTAGTGTTCCTCAGAACGAGAACCTTTTCTGGGGCTCCTAGCACCTGTGTGCTTTGCCTTGTTTAATAATTAAAAGGATTTTTTTTTTACCAGGAATTTTTTTTTTGCTTACTTGGAAAAGGAGAAATGATTTTGTGGTTTAGAACAGAAAGAAATCTGGAGCCTAACACAGGCTCTTCTTTCCTGCTCTTCTAGGAGAACATGAGATGGGCAAAAGTCTCCTACTCCTCCATGCCTTGCTAGCTTTCTGCAAAAGGGAAGTGATGCTTATCTGAAAAGAGGGGTCTAAAGCTAAATAGTTTTTACAAATATACGTCCATGAATTTCTCATTTAGCATATGAAAAACTGCATTTGTAGACATGTCCTTTGGATCCATTGATCCAAGTGTGTGAGAGACTGAAAATAAACAGCAATAGTTGTAAAAAAAAAAAAAAGAACCAAACAAAATTAGTTCTCTTATTATGTTGAGTGCTTTCTTCAGCTTCAGTAAGAACATTTTGCATCTCAGTTGTCAATGTGTAAGTTTTGGTAGTTTGTTTAGCTACAGTGGGGAGTGTAGGCTTGAGCTGGAATCATTAATGACAATAACAACACAACTAAACAAAACCCCCAAGCAAATGAAAAAGCAAACCTTCTGCCTGGATAAGGGACCTCGTTGGTGCTGAGGGCTCTAGGCTGGTGAGATCCTGTTGGTTTTGGCAGGACAACTAACTTTGGTTGATATATTGGGACACAAATAGAAGTTAGAAGTAATGGAAAGAAGAGCTGAGTTCAAATTTGCTGGAGGCCCTAGTGTTCTCCATATGGGTGGGTTTTGCAACACATAAGGTCAGGGTGGGCTGTGATGTTAGTAATAGCCTGTGGCCTGGGAGGCATTTTATTGAGTAGTAGTATTATTACTGTATTTTCTTCTGTAAACCCCATGTTTCTTTTCCCTCATTTACTTCCCTCTGTTTACCCAAACCACTGGATTTTGCCTTGTAACCATAGTCTCTTCTGCTTTCTTTCTAAAATTCCTTCTTGCCCTTCTCTCCCCCAGTGTTCACATCCTCCCTCCAACTTTCTTTCACACCCATCTTATTTTTTTCCTCATTTCCCATGAAGCCTCTCCCTTCCTTCCTCTTCCACAACCAGCCATTTCACTTTCTTACCTTCCACTCCCATATTTTCTTTCTCTTGAGCTCTTTCCTCATATCTTGAACTCTGCTTTCCTTGGTTCCTCCCATTATTTTTTCCCCAGTGTCTTTCCTTTCCCTTCTCCTTGTATTGCTTCCCTCTCAGTTCAGGCTTTCCAGGTGGCGTATCTTCCTTCACCCTCCTGGTGCAGGCGATGGGCAGAGGAGGTATGGCAGCTGCCTAGGATGTGATCGTGAACACAAAGGCCATGTAAGTGGTAGGGACGAAGCACTCCAAATTCTTCTGTCTCCACCATGTTTG